TGAGGAAAACTGCTTTATTTTGTTGAAATTCTTATAGAAAAACGTCTTGTGAAATGCGTGTTACAAAGAACCAGTTTGAATTCTGTTTAAATAAACAAATCTGCATAAAAGATGCATGTCCTATAAGAATACAATTCTGGTGTGGTTCTGTCCTGCAGCCCTGTCCTCTGGGGTAGTCACTGTTTATCTCTGTCTGTTTCTCTTCAGACTAAATGCATGTCCCATCCCACGGAAGAATCAGTGAACACTGACACGAGTCCCCGAGGCCTCAGCTCTATCTTTCATTTGTGAACTAAAGGCCACTTTAAGGAAGGTAGTGATGAAAATGAGCATAGGTTATCATTAAACTTGGTCTGTTGAGGGGCTACACATTGCCCAGTAGAGGCAGTGAATTACAACGAAATGCAAAGTCCAGTCAAATGGACACCGGCAGCTTCAAAATTGTCTGTGCTTCCAATGGTTTCCCGTGGGAGCTTTGAAATTTTGCCCCATGGCCTGGAGTTGAAGAGCTTCCCAGGCCTGTGTGTTTAACTGTATGGCACTTAGCAGATATGGAAGAAGAGCCAGGGCCCAAAGAGGAAGAGGAGGAAGACATAAAACCAAGTATATTTGAAAAATGATCTGCCCTGCAAGTGGTAACAAAATTCCACAGAAAAAGTAAACATTGCTGCTGAAAAACATTATGATTTTGATGCGAAGACTGAAGAAAAAGTGCCAGTGAAGAAATGTATATGAGATAGGTCAGCCCCAAATGTAAGATAAGTGCCTTGAAATGGCTGCCGCCATTCTGATAAATAACTTCCTTCCTCACCTTAACGTTCCCATCCCCTACTTCAAGCATCACGGGTCATGATGAATGTCCAGGAGTGGCCACTGAGTGGCTGCCTGTACAGCTGACACAATCCCTGACCCGCCTACACCAGTCACCCACTATCTAACCAAGCCCCTTTCCCACTCCTCCTCTCTCTCCTTTGTTCTCTTTCTGCACAGCAGGCCACTGTGCCATCCAGCTCTTTAATAAAAGCCCTCATACGAGCTCTGTCGGTGTGCGGAGTGATCTTTGGCAGGCGCCGGTTCCTTTCACCAAATACACAAAAATCAAACCCAAATAGGAAAGACAGAAGAGAACTAACACTGAGATCAAAAGGTCAAGAATCTTAAAAAAAAAAGAAAAAAAGGCAAAAAAACCCCACAAAACCCTCCTACAGTCCCAAGGGACCTAATTCTGTAGAGAACATTAAAAGAAAATGGCAAAAAAGTATAGAACAAGGTGGTTCTCTCCCTAAAGCCGGAGCTGGATTCATCCATTATGTGGAGAATTGCTTCTGGGTGATGACCAGGAGGCCACCCAAGAGCTGTGGCAGTGGAGGAAGCATCTTTAAGAAAATAGCTTAGAGTTTCTTAAAATTTTCCACCTTATTTCACCCCTGTAACTGCTGATATCTGGCTGTCCTCTTAATAGTGCAAAATGAGAACTTTCTTTGCCATGTTTGCTAAATGTCATCCAGGTTCCAAGGCCAAGAATGTGCCATCCAAAATGACTGGCTAGATTTTAAAGACAGAAGTTGCCCTCTGCTTGGGCTTAAGTATGTTGGGATGCTACGATAGGATACCACAGTAGTAGTGGTGGGGAGATTCAGAAGTGGCAAGGGAGACAAAAATATATACTTGAAATAAACTCAGTACTTTAATAAAGTAAAAAAAAATACAGTACTTGAAAATTTGGTTTGTGAAAGTCAAACCAACCTAAACCTAGGTACTTGATCATTCAATAAATGGAAATTTCGTTGTCTATGTTTAGTTGTTCAGGGACTGTGCTGTAGCTTCAGCCATTACATGCAAAATGAATTTAGCCTGGCTCCAGCTCCAGGGACCAATAAGGATTATATCCTCACAGGATATGTGTCTTTTATGCAAATCTATTTAGAATTAAAATCAATTATTTTTAGCATGCATTTTACTCTCTGCACAGGACAGAGCAGTACATGAGAGACTGATAACATTCTAGGAGAGTAAGGCAGATGGACCACAAGTTTGAGCCCAGCCTGGGTGACTCAGTGACTTAGAGAGAACCCATCTCAAAAGATAAAAAGGGTCTGGGAATGTAACTCAGTGTAAGGATCCTGGGTTGAATTCCCAGTACAGCAGACAAGTAAACAAGTGCTCTCTTCTGCTGTTTGAAAAAGGAAGGGAACCAGAAATTCGAGGACATAGAGAGATCAACTTGACCCTTCACTATAACTGGTTGGAAAACTTGAGGCTAAGAAAAAATTCAAGTCATAATGACAGATAATCTCAGATGGAGATGGAATGGCTTCTGGCTTGGATGCAGGGATGAAGGAAGAAAAGGTGAGCCTTTGCAGAAAGGTACAGACTCTGTCTTTAGAATCATCAAGAAAAAAATCGTTGTTTTGTATATGAATAATGTAAGTTTAAGTATTTTACTAGAGATATTTTTATTTTTACAAGACAAGCAAGCTTTCCTCTCTGTCTCGGACCTACTTGTAGTGTAAGTGGTGAGCCCCTGGGCTGGGCTCCTGCTTGCCACCTGGAGGGGCAGGTGTGCTGCTCCCCTGGGAGGGAAAGAAACCTTCCCTCAGGCTCTAGCTGCCAAAGCCCCAGGCAGCAGGATGGTTCAGTTCAGATATCCATAGTCTCATTAATACTAATAAGATTTTGACAACATTTGAAATTAATAAATTAATGAATGTCCTTCCCATCAAGGATCTTATGACAAAGAAGAAGAGCTAGCAGGTCAGGCAGAATCATTTTGGCAGAGCTATGTTCATTTATGTGGCAATAGGGTGACAGTGACCTCAACAGCCACCAGAGGCTATACATGTACTAAGAATTTACTACATCTTCCAGTCTTATAAGAAAGCTTGGGAAAGATATAAATTAGCTCTTCACTAAAAATCCAACCTTCACAACTATAATGTTTATTCTTTGCCTTGCTAAGCTTCTTTGTACTCTGTCTTTATCCAAAGAGGTTACTTTAATAGCGTGGGGCTCGGAGTCAGCCAGCACTGTGCTGAGATCCCAGCTCTTCTAAATGCTGGCAGGAGTATGCTGGGCAGGTGATGCTGCCTCTCTGAGGCCCTACTCAGAGTGACAAATTGACACTTTTGTTGCAGGGTTGTTGAGGGTGAGAAAATAGTCACCAAACACAGTCAGGGAATGCTGGTGATCACTATTACTATAAATATTCTAAAAATGCCAGAAGCTGGCATTCATGGTGGTGTCATCTCTGAAGGATATTATTGCAAGGGTTCAGGGAATGGGACCAGAAACCATGCCTCCCCACCACTCTTGCCCTTAGTTTCCTAGTGTGTTTGGCGACTCACCTGCCATGTTCTAGGGTTGGTGGCTCCCAAATCTGATGGGTGCAGGACACTATTAGTACAATATGTCAGGTATAATCTGCTTTTAGAATGTTGTATTGAGCAAATTTGTGTAAAATGGAATGAAATATCCATTGTCTTCAACAAATTCTATTGTTCCCAGAAGGGGTAGATAAATCTCCAGGCAAAATCTCATATTCTTTCCTGTCATGACCTTTGAAGATGCTATCTGCCTGAAAAGGAATAGAATAATTCCTCTTTCCTGAAGAACATTTGTGTTTCTGCTTGAAATAGGCTCTTAATGAAAGACTTCTATGGATATCTTACTTTCAACAGGGCAGGCTATCTTCAGCTTATTTGGCTTAATTTTTAGAATACAGTAAGGCCAACAAACAATCACACTTTACTGAAAATTTGCAAGTATTTATGTTTCCTGTGCTGGAAGTCAAATGAAATGATTTTATCCATGTTTGTTTTCCAAGGACATGCTCAAATTCTACCTGAGCTTAGTGGAAAACAGAAAGCAGCAATTGTAAACATTCACACTGTGATTAATACTCTCCTCTGGAACAATACTTTTTAGCAACTCCTACTGTTTGTTTAAATTAGCTTGGGAAAATTAGAATGCCTCAGCCTGAATATTCACAGGAGAAACAGCCAGCAGCATGATTCAGTTCCTTTCTGAATGCTGCCTAATCTTTCCAAAGTGTGATGAAGATATGAAAGAGAAAGGCAGGGTGGAGAACTAGGAGTCCAGGAAACAAGACAACTGGGAAGGTAAGGCAGAGGTGGGGGCAAGGAAGAAGAAAGAGGAGTGGGGAGAGAAAGATAAAAATGAAAACAATGAAAAGCCACCCTGCTGGATTTTCCTGGTTGTGTATCTGGTTTATATATAGGGTCTGACTCGGCCAGGGCCTGGAGATGGAAGGGGGAGGTCCCTGGCCATGCGTGGAAATGCTGTGTGGGCCCAGTGACCACAATGAACCCTAAAAGAGCCCCATACTCAGCTCTCCTCTCCCAGATACTTTTGGGTCCCAGCCATGCCTTTGCAAGAAACCAGCTGAGCTAAGCAGTGCAATCCAAGTTCAAAAGGCATCAGGAAGCTGGGTGGCTCAATCCAGACCATAAATTCAGACCCCTCTGGGGTTCAGGACAGGGCTGGCTATTTGTCTCCATCACCAGATCCATCTCCCAAGGCACAGCTAAATATGTCATAACAGTAGATCACTCAATACAACAAACACATGCAAGACATTATAAGTGACATCTGATACAGTGACAGGCTTCCCTTTTGTGAGTGAGGATGTGACCAGGAGGCTCCTGGGAAGGCATGGCCAAGCGACACTTCTCAAGATAGCCCATCCCCAGCTGAGGAGACATAGAGGAACTTGCCTTTTATAGTCATGAAGGTACTGGGGCTGAGACAGAGCAGTTCTGGAGGAGAGGCCTTCACTAATGGGCCAGTTGGTGGACTCCGGTGGTCCTGCCACCCTTTGTTGTCTAGTGATGAGTCACACTGGCTCTGGCAAGACCAGAACCCATCCCTGTAGAAGTCAAGATGCCCTGTTCCTGCCCTGAGGGCTGAGCGAGTGGTCAGTGTTCTATGCTTCACTGTGTTCCACAGAGTTCTAATTAAAAGAAAATGAAAAACCATCTTACCCATGAGGAATTTTGCTCAGAACGTAATATCCAGTGTAGGAGTGTTGATATATCTGAAATAGATAAGGGAAAAGCAAGCATTGAGACATGGATATGACTATTTCTTTTCCAATTACTGAATGTTAACAAAAATCAGTGGGCAAAAAAGCAGCGAATCTGGAAACCTAGGGGCAAAGGCATTTATTGACTCAGAATGTCAATTTGCATATACTGTTTATTTTATTTTTATCACTTGCAATGGTTTATCGGGCAGCCAGAAGGTTGATGTCATCTCCATTGCTACTTATGGTTAAGTTAGGGGCACAGATTTCCAGGCTATCTAAATATGGCACAAAACTAATGAGGACACTGTGGTCCCCGGAGATTGCCAGGCAGTGCTCTGCTGGAGTTACTGCCACTTATGGTCAGGGTGCTGAGAGTTTTCACCATGCGTCTTCAAGGAATTGCAATCCTGGAGTTAAGATGTGCTCCGCTGGGCAAGTTCTTGCCCCTGTGCACACTGTGATGTGTACCTTCTGGCTGCTGGGAGAATGGTCAACAAGAACTCACCACAAGACGGGAATTAGAAGTAGCTGGCTTTCAAACTGGAGGGAACGAAAAACCAAAATAGACTCTGAAAACTCCTAGAATCATGATCCCTTTCTTGATCTTTTGAGATGGGAGATTATTCCCCAATCTATAAATGCAATAAATAGAGTTGGCAGTATATGACATCCCAGGGAACAATAATGGTCTCTGTTCTCACTAAGCCTTCTGGAGAGAAGCCCTCCTCATCATACGGGATGCAATAGGTTATTCTGCAGGATGGGAATGAGGCATTATTTCACTCCATTGTTCCTCCTGTGAAGCTATGAAGGTCAGTATATGTGGCTGACCTCTTGGGGTAGCACGTGAAACTGTCTTTCTAAAGTTAGTGCGGTGAAGGAGGATATATCTACCGCAGAGTATATTGAACAGGGTAATGCACTTGGTGTGTCCATGAGGGACATAAGATTGCAAAAGGAACCAGGTCAGATTTTCTAACCCCTCAATCTCTTCCTAGTCCGGACCAGTGGTCCCCAACTGTTTGGTGCCAGGAATCAGTTTTGAGGAAGATGATTTTTTCCATGGGGTGGGAAGCGTAGGTGAGAATGGGTTTGAGGGGTTGAGGAGGGATGGTGGTGGCGATGTAGGATGGTGGTGGGATGGAAGAGGTGGTGGTGGTTTCACGTTTAGATTCTAATACAGAAGAAGCAACCTAGGTCCCTCACATGCACAGTTCATAGTAGGGTTTGAGTTCCTATGAGAATCTAATGTCTGGCTGGTGTGACAGGAAGTGGATCATAGGTGGTGATGATTGTAATGGAGAGTGACTAGAAATACAGATGAAGCTTCTGTTGCCTACCCACCTGCCATATATCTGCTGTGTGGACTGGTTCCTAGCAGGCCACAGGCCAGTGACCAGTCCTTTGTCTGGGGTTTGGAGACCCCTGGTCTGGACCACTGAGTTATTTCTTTTAGGGACTCATAGTGGACTTGGAATTATTTGGTGAAAATGGGCCCAGATGTAAAAGAAAATAGCAGCACTCAAGTCCCAACAATCTTTTGCTTCTAGGACCCCTGAGATTTCTGAAGCAGAAGCATGGGGCCCGAGGTGGCTGCCGGAAGGTGCTGGGTGGGCAAACACTGCTCCAGTCATAAGGAGGCAGCCACAGTGGGGCAGGCTCTGGCCCACTCCTTAGCATACCCTGCATCTATGAGGGAGAGGTTATCACCCCAGCGTCCCAGGCAGGAAAATGGAACATGAGGGAAGGTAAGTCAAACCCTGGAGGGACTTGCTGTATGGTTTGTCTCTCCCTACACACAGCCTTGGAAAGTGCAATGCTCAGCTCTCAAATTACAAGTTCAAGTTGATGGTCATCAACTAAAAAACCCAGAGTAGGACGAACAGATGGAGACAGAGAGAAGGAGAAAGGGAAGGTGAGGAGAAGAGGATGAAAAAAAAATGAAGAAGTATTATGTACATGTATCAACTCCCCATGACGAATGTAATCATTATGCACTGAAAACATAGACTAATAAAAATATTTTTAATGATTAAAAATCCAGAATAATAGGAGCCATAACAAATACGCAAAATACTTTGCATTTCATTATGCATAACATGCCAACTATTTTGGTTGAAGGCCCATTGTTTTAATCCATCTAGAAACAGTGATTGTACTGAGCCTTTCTACGTGGATTTTAAAATTTCAAACTTTTATGCCAAGTCCATCTTTTGAAAACTAAAACATTGTTTACCCTTTAAAGAATGTCCTTCCTTTTACCTGATCTCTCAGTAGAGAAATACTAGGGTCAGAAGCAATCATTCTTAGTCCTTTCTTTCCTCTCTGATGAGCAACAAGTCCCCCTGTTCCAATGGCCTTCATGACTTTGCCCCTCAAATTCACCCACTTCTCTTGGCAGCACTGCCCTGGCTTGGGTGCCTGCCAGGACCCCACTTCCTTGCTGGCAGCAGGACAACTGCCAAGCCAGAAACAGTGGGGAGGTGGCTGGGAGCAGTTCTGGAATAGACACACTGCCATACTGCTGCTATTACTCAGCCTGTGTCAGATAGGGATGAAATTTAAGGAAATTTAAACCATGAGCAACAATAAGTGTCCTTGTTTCCAGTGTCATGAGAGCTGTATGACCAGCATTGTGCAGAGTCTAGGATACTCTTCCTTCTCTGCTGTCCTGGACTGTAAGAGCAGGAATTCCATAGGAAGGGGAGAGTTGGAGCTGACTTCTTCTGAGATGTGGTGCAGTGAGAAAACCACCGACACCATTGCCCATGGCCCCTTTGGGCTGGGCACCTGGTCAGCTCAACTGCTCTAATCATCAGGGGGCTCCATGTAGTGTCCGGCTAGAGGATGTGTGTTCTTCTGTGGTGGTGAACTCCCTAATTTTAGTGGTATTTAAGTAGAGGCACCATACTCATTACCCTTTTGCTGGTGTGGGGAGGGGTGGGACAAAAGCTCTGTTTTCAGAAATAGTTTAAGCCTGGCTGAGTTCACATGGCCTGTTCCTGATTCTTTGTCTTGACACATTATTTAAAAAAACCCACCCCCTTTTATACCATTAATCCCACCCATTACCAGGATCTTCCATAACAAAGCAGTTGCTAAACTTCCTAGAAACCCAGAAATAGAGCCATTGTTCAGAGCAGATGATCACTAGGTGAGCTTTCTGGGCAGCAATTAGAAGCAGATGCTCCTGATGATTCCATCCAGGCCTTTCTTTGAATAGGTAAGAAAATGTGCACATCCCTAATAACTCATGTGGAGACCAGGGCTAAGCTGTTGCTAATATCTTCCCAGGAAGAAATGACCTTTCTTGTCTAGAAACTCTCTCCCTCCACAGCTGGAGAAACAGAGGCAGTGGAGGAAATGAGGCGAGCAAAATATGCTGGAGAGATGAGCAGGTTGCTGGTGTCTGCAAACACATCCTCTGAAGGACAGTGGGAGTGGGTAGAGGTGGACACCTGGAGAGGAGAAGGGAGCATGACAGACGAGATGCCTCAGTTCTGGAAGGGGCATCCTGAGTGGTAGGAGCAGATCTGTCTCACTACCTACTGAGAAAGATGAGGGTGACATGTATACCCGGAAGGAGACAGGTTTCAGATAGGTGCTGCTGTCATTCAACACCAAAAAGGCTTCCTGGCCCTGGTTAATAAAAGCATCGAAGCAGTTTATTGGTGCATCCTGGAAAAGGTAGGGAAGGCTGAGTTGAATCAATGCCCCTAAATTTTTTTTCCACTCAGTTTCAGCAATTCCTTCTCAAGCATCTAGCCAAGGATGTGTGGCCCCTGCCCACACCTCTCTCCACTCTCCAGCTGCATAACTCCAGCAGTGTAACTGCTTCTCAGTGCTGGCTCCAATTGCCCAGCTGTGCCCAATGAGTCTAAGCCCTCACATGTCAAATTTAAGGCTCCCAACTGTGACAGAAATTACAACTATCCCTGCCACATGTAACATCCACACCCTCTCCATGAAGCTTCTGCAGAAGTTATACCCCATTGCAGGAAAACATCAGCTTGATTCTCTCAAGCTTCTCTTCCATTCATGTCTTTCCTTGGGACCTCCTCCAAAGGCCCACCATCCCACCATCTTGCCAGAACTTCTTCTTCATGGTCTCTGTCCTCACTGTCATGGCTGATGGTCTGGCAATGGTATAAGCTCTGGTGTTAGAACTGAATAATAGAGAATGAACCAGTCCATTCCAGAGTGGCCTTTTCCTCTTCATGCAGGTTACAAGCATTCCTATGCGCTACTGACAATATTCAGCACACATTTCTATGCGCTATGCAAATTTACATGGTATCAGTTTCACAAAGTTAAACCGCTTGTAAAGATTAAACGAAAGAATTTGCTACAGTACACTAAATTCTAGATAAAAATTGAAATGGTAAAAATTAGAGATATTTAGTTCACATGACACAAAACAAATATTAAGAAATAAACTAAAAGGACTGTGGTTTTCCCCTGGTCTGGGTATGACTTAAGTGTACCCCTGAAGTTTATACATTGGAAGCTTGGTCCCTAATATGGTGGTACTGAGCAGAGACAGTGTCCTTAAGAGGTAGGCTGGGTGACAAGCAGTTAGGTCTCTGGGGACACTGCCTTCAGAAAGGATCAGTGTAGTTCTTGTGGGATCCTATTTCCTGCAGGTGCCCCCACCACTGTGATGCCACTTGCATCAAGACAAGCAGAAGCTGGAACCCTGCTCTTGGATCTCTAGGATTGGCAGCTAATGATTGAATCAGCTGCTTCTCTTTACAAATTACCAGCCTCTGGTATTTTGCTGTAGCTATGGAAAACAGGCTCATACACTCTGGTTGCATGACCTTTCTTCCTCATGATTTATGAAATTTATGATTTAGTGCAACAGTTTAGGCAAGGGTTAAAAGAGAGATGACATAGAATTGTCGGACTCAAAATACAAAAATAATGGACACGTCCTCAGAATTCAGTTTACATCTCATCTCCTCTTGTCCTGGAATAAGTGGTCTTCCAAAAATCCTCTTAAACTTAAG